TGAGGTTTCGTACTTTATGTCTATGTCTAAGATGTTCCATATATCCTTTTTGCGTTGCAAACCGACACCCACATCCCTGTTTGTGGCCCTCCCCGTCCTCCACCTCCAAGTTGCAAACGTAAGGTAGCCCCTCCTCCTCCTCATCTTGACTTCCTCCTTGGGGACCTGGAAGGTCGTCGTTATGATACCACGGAGGGACCTCGTATGTGTGCGTCCTACTTCGTACCCTAGTGAAATCCACCTTCTGAAGGTCCATCATCACCTCCTCATCTTCGAAAAGCAACCAGGGGGACTCCGACACTCTCGAGAGAAGCTCCTCTGCGTCGGGGCAGGCGCGCATCGCCTCCCCCATATCCGTGCCGACTCTGCGTGCCCAGGGGGAGGCCCATTCCGTTAAACCTGTAACTGCACACGGCCATCTGAGAGGGTCCTCGAATGGCATGTCGCCTCCAAAGAGTGCCAGGAGTACTTGTACATGTGACTCAGGGTGTGCTGACCACGACTGATACCAACGCAAGCGCCTACAAAGTAACTCCGTCTTACAATCCGAGAGCTCCCAATAATCCAAGACCTCCCGTGTTGTGAGGGAACGAATATGATCCTCATCGTGCGTGCACGCCCCCCCAACCATCGCTGTACGACCCAATCGTGCTAGATGTCTGTCAAGAAGTTGCGTCTGCTTATCCGTGAGTATGAAGGGTTCCATTCCTGTAAGCAGAGAGCCTTGGACAAGACCTGTAAAGATCACCCGCTTCCACTTCCGAGGTATGTTCAATGACCAAAAGGCCCCCATACTGTAGAAGCCTGCTGACGATGCTGCGATGCGGCGCTCGATCTCGGGGGAGGACTGCTGCAGGGGGGTGATAACTGGCCCCAGGTATCTCGCCACGTCCGACACGGTGCCCTCCAGCCTACCCTCCTTCACACCTTGCTCCCTCAAAAACCGTTTACACGCTGCTGCTCCTGCACCCGCAATATAAAAACTAGTGACCTGTTTAGAACGATTCTGAACATAACCTGCTGGTTCCAAGGTGTGATCAAGAATCCGATCGATGGTCCTAAGGTCTGCAATAACATCTATCATGGTGTCGCCGATAGGTAATGGTACTATACGAAGGAGGTCGTCGGCATACTTTTGGTACGACATGTCCACAATTCCCCCCGCCCATGACGACTGTAACAGGTTAGTGCTGGGGATGCGTTCTCGGACTTGTTCGGCCCAATCCTCCACTGGTTTCCTAAAGGCGCCTGCAAATCCTTGTACATTAAACGGGTCACCCATGACTCCCCCACAGCCCGTCTTTAACAGGATCGGCTCGGTGGTCGTCTCAATCTCCATAGTAGATAACCGGTAGCGCTGCCTGCACAAGTTCCAATCTTGGGGGGGGACGTGTTCCTGGATGACGGTGTCGAGAGCGTCCCACTGGGTACTTCCGAAAGCATTAGACATGTCCTTCATACTAATGGCATACGACCATCCCGCCTGCCTGAGGCGGTAACTCATAGCCATGATGCTCATAATCGCGTCCTCCCTCCTCCTGTGACGGGCAAAGCCGTGATCTTGTGGGGGTAGAACCAAGGGGAGACGTTTAGCATACCATGCCTTGCCCACCGCGGGCAACGTGTGGATGAGCCGGCGCCCCTTCGGGCCTAACATGTCGTTCTTGTACAGTCCGATGCCCCTACTTCTGTGCCAATAAAGAGGTGTAAGATCACAACGCCGTATCTGTAATAAGGCTTGGTGGAAGACGTGTTGACAAGATTTAAGGCATGGGATCGGGTCAGAATAACCAACTCCGTGATGGTGCTTATGCTTTCCCAGAGGTGTAAGGAACATGTCCCAGAGCTCTAACGGTGCCGTGCCAGGTGGGACCACTCGTCGCTTGCCTCCTTTTCTGCAGTACTTCCTGATAGCTGCATAGTCTTCGGCGGCCAGATCGGCAAGCGAGCTTTCGTCTGCAACAGAGACTACTGGGGGTACAAGGTTATCTCGTTGTGCACGCCACGTGTCCCAAGATATAGTATGTGTGGCCATCCCTCCCTGTCCCCCAGCTCGTGACATGTACTCCTCCCATTCCTGAGCATCCAAGAGAGCGGGCCCAAGTCGTCGTCCGTCCCTCTGCTTCGCACCGAACCTACACTTGGCTGCCTTTCTGGATAATTGCATAGCGTCTGCCATCCGCCGCTCCCGCCAGGCTTCCTCGATGAGTTCAATCTTGAGGTCCCTATCCAGCTTCGCCGACTTCCGCCGTTCACTCTTGAGAGTGTTCGAGAGCCGCCGTAATTTCCTCTCGATCTCCTCCACCTCCTCCTCCGACTTCCCCTCCTTGCTGGCCTTCATGTCCCTCCTTATCTTCAGAAGCTCCCTGCGACGCTCGCAATCGTCCGAATGGGGGGCCAATGGTGCTCTCTGGAAGTGACGAAGGCCAACGGTGGTAAACGTGCGCTCGTACGCCTCGAACACCTGATCTGGGGCCCCCGTGTGCGTAAGCTCTAACAACTGTTCCTCGTTGGACTCCAATTCTGCCGCCAGGTCACGAAGGAAGGCGGCCTTGCCGTGCCCGTATCTAACAGCCATCATCAGAGCCGACGTGTTCATCCGAGGCTCCGCAGGGGGGGGTAGCTGTCGAGGGTCTTTTACATACTGCACTTCCAGGTACAATGGAACGTGGTCTCGTGGGGGAAGGCCCCGTACTGCCTGAACTTGCGCGCCTAGTGTGCGGAGAGTGTGGCAGTGGATAACCCTTTCATGGTACCCCTGAGGCAAGTATAGGTAGTCAATCATCGACGGTCTGGACGGGTTCGTGCAGGAGAAGTAAGTGTACTCACGTGCACGAAACGTGGCAGGTGCGCACATGCCGTGCTGGTCCAGCAGCTTCCTAACCTCCTCCCTTGCTCCTCGTCGTCGCTGTTCCCGTCCTCTTGTCTTCCCAATCGCCGACGACACGACCTCCTCCCACTGCCCCGCAATCTTCGACAGCCCCATCCCGTCATTGAGGTCCGAGTAGAAAATGGGGAGCGTGCGGGACGGGAGGGAGTTGAGAACGTCGTTCCACCACCTGATAAGTGCCTGTACCGTCGCATAGTAACTCCCCGCCTGCCCCTTTTTTGACGGTTGAGGAGGGAAGTAGAGGGAGCCGAGCACGAGATCCTGGGCACCCCTCTTGACTCGGACCGCGACCCCTCGGCCCGCACATTGTACAGGAGCAGCCCACGTCTGAACAATATCCTTCTCTCGATAAGCTCGGCCCAGACAGACGGCGCAACCGGTGCTCGAGTTGGAAAGGGGGGCCTTCTGATAGACCGATTCAATGATCAGGCGACCCTCCAAGCGACGACGTAGAACCCCACCACCACGCCTACAAGTTTCCCGAGTACCTGCTAGGTGTAGGGCGTCCGCACCGTGGGTGGCCTGCAACAGCTCTGACATCCGAGGGCCCGTCGCGAACATAGGGTTGAAAGCAAGAATACGAAGAGCAGACCCCATCGGCGCCATGGTCTGCTGTGGAGAGGCGCGCGTCGACCTCCCAACACCTTGTTCGGGTGTATGGAACCCCAGTGCGGTGGCTTCCAAAGACGAAAAAAAGGGAGGGAGGAGGAGGAGGAGGATGTGGAGGAGGAGGAGGAGGTGGAGGAGTAGGAGTAGGAGTAGGAGTAGGAGTCAAGCTAGCCAGCTCGAGCGAGTCAAGCATGGCATGCCCAGTCCCACCCGCCCTCCCACAACATAAGAAGCAAAGCTGGCACAACTGGGGGCCGAAGTCACACCGGGCCAGCCGGTTTGGTACAGCTGATGCGGCCGCGATGGCGGTTGCCGACGGGAACTGGCGAGCGCGTGTTGAATGCCGCGCACGCATTGCCAGACGAGTCGAGAATGGCCCGGTACACCGCAGGAAGCCAGAGGTGGCCGGAGGAAGCCCGACGGTCTGACAGGACACCCCAAAGGATTTGTGTGAAAAAGCATTGGGTTTTTGATTTTTTTATGTTGAAATGCTTGCAAACACACGGTGTTCGGTAGGATTCTGACATGAACGCGCGAGTGTGCTCTTTGTGGTTTTTTTTGCACAGGATTCGCGGCCTGGGTGCATGACAGAGCATCGCGAGTGCACCGCGCGATGACGTGAAATCGCTGGATTTTGGACCCCAGTAATATTACGATTCCTTCTTTTTAGAAGAAAATTACATGTTTTCTTCAGCCTATGATTCAGCAAGAGAGCCCGGGCGGGAATTTGTACAATTTTTGTGAAGAAGCATTGGGTTTTTGATGTTTTTATGTTGAAATGCTTGCAAACACACGGTGTTCGGTAGGATTTGACATGAACGCGCGCGTGTGCTCTTTGTGGTATTTTTTGCAATGGATTATCGCCGTGGACGACAGGACGTCCATGTCGAGAGGAAAAAATAAGAAACATGTTGATTTTGTATTGTTTTTACAGGTTAGGATGGGACCACCCGGATGCGGCCCCTATCGGCCGGCCTGAGGGGGGAGTAGGAGTATATTCTAATAAGGAATAAGGAGTAGTAGTAGTAGTAGTAGTAGTAGTAGTAGTAGTAGTAGTAGTAGTAGTAGTAGTAGTAGTAGTAGTAGTCGTAGTCGTAGTCGTAGTCGTAGTCGTAGTCGTAGTCGTTAGTCGTAGTCGTAGTCGTAGTTAGTTGTCGTGTAGTATTAAATAGAGTAGTGTAGTAGTAGTAGTAGTAGTAGTAGTATAGTAGTAAAAAAAACTAAAAATTTTTAACTAGTAGTAGTAGTAGTTAGTAGTTAGTAATTAGTAGTTAGTAGTAGTAGTCGTAGTAGTAGTAGTAGTAGTAGTAGTAGTAGTAGTAGTAGTAGTAGTAGTAGTAGTAGTAGTAGTAGTAGTAGTAGCAGTAGTAGTAGCAGCAGCAGCAGCAGCAGCAGCAGCAGCAGTAGTAGTAGTAGTAGTAGTAGTAGTAGGAGGAGGAGGAGGAGGAGGAGGAGGAGGAGGAGGAGGAGCAGGTTCGAGAAGCCGCGGCCGGCCCGCGAGGCAGCTGGCGCAGAAGCTCCTGGCTGGGCTCCAGCGCTGCTACGACCGCGCACCGCGGGGCGCGGAGTCACGCGCCGCGCTGGCGTTGCGCGCGGCTCGGCCTCCGCGGGGTTCCCGTCTAGACATTCCAGGCCTTCTAATTACCCAGACCCCCTCGAGTAATGATCCAGTCATGACGGCAGGTTTTTCGCCATTTTCGGCCTCTGGGGGCCCTTCCCGGGCCTCGGGACCGTCAAAAAACGACTCGGGATGAAAAATTGGTCCCGCTGAATAGGTTGAGAACTCGGGAGGTCGACGCAATGAAAAAATCATGACGTTGGGGGTCTGGGTAGATGGATTTTCCCTCTGCGAGCCGTCGGGCGGGACCGAGGAGGCTAACGGTCAAGCCTGAGATGGAGGTCGCGCGCTGTGAGCGGCCTCCCTGAAACCAAACACGGTGTCTGACGATGCAGTATCGTCGAATTGCGCAGTGGGCGTTCGGGTCATCCCAGACCGCGGGCGCCTGGCAGGCGCGGGGAGCATCCAAGCAGATGGGGTCGGAGGACCGCGCCGTGTCGCCGACGCATCGGCGATGCGCCTCGATGTGGTATCCGATTTCCTCCACGGCGGCGGCGCCGGTGCACCGCCAACGTCATCGATGCATGTGCGATGTATCGGCGATGCAGCGCGATCCTCCGACCCCTTCTGCTCGGACCCCATCTGAGAGGCCTCCAGACATGCCCGCGTCGCGACAGGAGTCACGACCGGAGGTTTTGGACCGTGTTCGGCACCTCGGGGCCCTCGCCAGACCCCCGGAGCGTCAGGCAACGGCTCGCGATGACAAGCCGGCCTCGGGGAAAGGGTCGGGACTTCCCTGGAGGCCCTGCACGGTTCGGGGCGTTCGTTCAGGAATGTGCCCAGGATGCGGCGGCGAGGGGCTTCTCAGCTGTATTGGGGGGCCCCCGTGGAAAGGACCTGGAGTTACGATGTTCCAACCTACTTTAGCCTTGACCATCAGAAATAATTTCGAGCCCCAGAACACAATACCCAAAAACTCGAGGGTTTTCACGTGTCCGGCCCTCGGAGACACTCGTCCGACACTGTTTCGGCATCCTTTCGACACTTTTCCGGGTGCTCGAAATTGTTTCTGGAATGTGGTCCGGAAGGACGATTTTAGCAACAAAAACCTGGAGGCTTCCGAGGAGGCCTCTCAGAAGCCCGGGAGGGCCTCCGGGAGGCCGCCTGCCTTCAGAGATGCCCCCCCTCGCCCTCCGACTATAGGCCGCCCCCCTCTCTCGTGCCACGGCCTCGCGCGCGCCGCCGAGTCAGGGGGAACGGAGCCGTAACCTTGCGTCGGGCATGTCCCTCTAGAGGTGGAATGTTCAAACATAGTCCAAACGACATCAGCACACGAGACTAGCATGTCCTTCAGCGCCCTGTCTCAGGGCACGCACGCACCACTCTGCTTGGCATTATCATGGTTGCTCATCACCGCTGCTCATCATGGCACCTCCTTCTCCTCTCCTCCCTCCTCCCTCATCCTCCTCCTCCCCCTCTTCCTCCTCCTCCTCCTCCTCCCCCCTTCTCTCCGCCCTCTCCTCCTCCTCCTCCTCCTCCCTCCTCCTCTCATTCCTCCCACTCCCCTACTACTACGCCCTCCTTCTCCTCCTCATTTTTCCTCTTCCTCCTCCTCCTCACTCCTCCTCCTCTCCTCCTCCCTCCCTCCTACCTACCTCCTCCTCCTCCTCCCTCCTTCCTCCTCGCCTCCTCCTCACCGCCTCCTCCTCCTCCTCCTCCTTCCCCTCTTCCTCTTCCTCCTGCTCCTCCTCCTCCTCCTCCTCCTCCTCCTCCTCCTCCTGGCCTCCTGGCCTCCGTCGGTGGGGGGATCCCGGAGCGCGCCGCCCGCCGAGGCACGCGGGGCACTGGCTGTGCCGGCGGCTGGGCGTTTGGAGGCGCCGCGGGGGCGGCCGGGGCCGTCGTCGTCGTCGTGCTCGGAAGGAGGCCCAGACAGCTGGCGTCTCCCCCCCCCTCCTCTCCTCCTCCTCCTCCTCCTCCTCCTCCTCCTCCTCCTCCTCCTGCTCCTCCTCCTCCTGCTCCTCCTCCTCCTCCTCCTCCTCCTCCTCCTCCTCCCTCCTCCTCCCAAGATCAGGGGCTCCGAGCGACCGCTGCCATTTGATTTTTCTTCCCGGGTTTCTAGTCATGCCCTTCCTTCCGCGTTGCCGTCGCGATCTTGCGACACCCCGGTTGGGCGAGTTTGCTTTTGGAGTTCCATGATTTTGGTCAGGCGCGCCCCACGGGTGATTGAGAGGGGGAGAAGTCAGGCTCGGCGATTTTTCTTTTCCTCAGCAGTACTTGGGCGGTGCAGGCCACGTGCTGTGTTTTTAACTTCGCCCATACTGCTTTCGTGATGGCAAGGTGCAGGCTGGGCATTGTGTATCCCTTCCTACTGTTCTTCAGCACGGTCCGTCCCAGTCGGCAGGCGAGAGGACGTGCCGCGGGCTTTCGTGCCCTTCAAACTGTCCCCCTGTCGGCAGGGCGTATCCCGCCATTTTTTTTGTGCAGCCTGGATGGGTGTTACAGTTTTTCGGTGTCGGCACAACGCACCTTACAGTCGAGTGGAGGAACATGAGTTTGCTCGCTGCACGTGTGGGAAGCTTTGTGCTCATTTTGCCTTATTGCTTTGGTCTGGGCGAATGCATTTTGAGAGATATGTGCAGGGTAGTTTACGGCCTGGCACTGTTCAGGTTTCGCTGGCAGGGTGGTCAGGTGTTCTGGAACCATCGTCGCGTACTGCTTGTGACGCGCGGGTGCAATTCCATGTCGAGTCCTTTCAGCGTCACGATGAAGGGTGATGTCTCTCTTGTGTTGTTGTCTGGCCATTCAGTGGGCTCTTTGGTCCCAATGTCTTCGTGTGTTGGTGGGCATGGCAATATGGTGAACATTTTACTCGTGAGGTGGCACGGTGTCCCGCAGCAGGTAATTGAAGGTCAGATTCGTATGTCGGACTCGCATCGTTTGTGCATGCACACGCGTGTCTGTCAGTGACCTCGACGTATAAGAGTCTCATGCTTGTAACCGACATGGTCGCAATACCCATAGATCCATAGTTCCTCGTCCTCCTCCTCCCTTTCATCTATTGATCATCTTGAATGATCCTACTCCTCCGATACTAAGAATAATATAATAAAGCCGATAATACTACTAAGATATAAGAAGAAGAAGATAAGAACCGAAGAAGGAAGGACGAAGAAGCAGTAATCATACGAAGAGAATAAGAATCGATAGCCTGAATTACGCCGGAGGCCAAAGTGACTAACGTAACTCCGCCATTACGCCGCTAGTAAGCATAATAATCATCCTCCTCTATCCTCCTCCTGTCTTCATCCTCCTCCTGCTGTCCTCCTCCTCCTCCGCCTCCTCCTCATCCCTGCTCTCCTCATTCTACTCCTCCTCCCTCCTCCTTTTTTTTTTTTTTCCTCCTCTCCTCCTCTCCTCCTCCTCCCCCCCCTCCTCTCATTCTCCTTCTTCTTCTATCCTCCTCTCCTCCTCCTCCTCCTCTCCTCCTCCTCTCCTCCTCATCCTCCTCCTCCTCCTCCCCCCTTCCCCCTCCTTCTCCTCTCCTCCTCTTCCTCCTTCTCTTCCTTCGTCGTCTCGCTCAGAAGGAGACCCAGACAGCTGGCGTCAGCTCCCCCTTTTCATCCTCCTCCTCTTCCTCTTCCTCCTCCTCCTCCTCCTCCTCCTCCTCCCCCTCCTCGAAAAATCGAGACGGAGGGTTCTCGTAGTTTTCGGCCTCCAGGGGCCCTTAAGTGCCAGGCCTCGAGGCCGTTGGCAGACGGCCTGGTCGCAAAGAGCCAGTCTTAGGTCGGGCGCCCCCCCCCTACAGGCGGATTTTGGACGGATTTTTTAAGCCAAATGATATCCAAACATTGTCAAACATAGTCCGTCCCCAGACTATGCCTGACTATGTTTGAATTTTCCCCCTGTAGAGGGACCGGTTGGGATGCATATCAGCCAGCGTTGGCTCCAAATCGATTAGACGAGTCAAATCTCGGAATCAGAGCAATCGAGCCTGCTTGGAATCCGCAGTTCGCCAAGCGAGCGAGCGCGCAAGCAAGCGCGCAAGCAACCGCGCAAACAAACAATCAAACAAGCAAGCAAGCAAACAAGCAATCGCAAGCAAGCAACCGCGCAAGCAAGCAAGCAAGCGCGCAAGCAAGCAAGCAAGCAAGCAAGCATACATAAGTGGGGTGCCAGTGGAAAAAGGGGGGGGATAGACATAGCCATAGAAATTAGGGGGGGCATAGGAATCGGGGGGGGGGGAACGGACCGACTAGTAGGGTTTGAGCTAGGAGTCCTATAGGGCAAGCCTATTTGGACAAAAAAACAAGTCCTGGGGAAGAGGTCGAGGGGTCGGGGGCCCGCAGTTCGAGAGAAGCGAGATACGCTAGATGTCCAGGGAGGCGCAGGCCCGTTTCTCGCCCTCAATCCCAGAGCTCCTCCTCCTCCTCCTCCTCCTTTCCTCTCCTCCTCCTTTCTTCTCTCCTCCGCCTCCTCCTCCTCCTCCGCCCCGATCCCAGAGTTCCCCCCACAAAGCATGAAGTCGGGCACGTCCCTCGAGGATTTAGAAATAGTCCAGAAATAGTATGGGGACGATGTGGTTCTACAGTTTCTAGCCATTTTTTGTTTTGTTTTGTTTTGCTGTTTCTTGTTGTTTATCCAAGATCCGCCTGCAGGGGGGGCGCGCCCGACCTACGAAAAGCAGCGGGAAGCAGGTGAACTCGGGGATGCGCCCTCGTCGAGGGCTGCTCGGGCGCACGCCACATCGAGGGTTGGCGCCGCTCCCCCCCCCAGTCGTGCAGGCACGAGCTTGGCCCCGGCGCGCTTGTGCAGCCGAGCACCCCACGGAGTCGGGGATTGGGGTCGCTATGCGGTCGAGCTTGATGCTAGGGACGAGCCATTTTCTGCGGGTGCCCTGGCGTCCTTGCCCGTTCGGCCCGTCCTTTGCCGTTGTCGCTGGCCAGCCTCTCCTACTGCAGCGTTCTTGCTCTGGTCCCGGCGCCCGTTCGGCAAGGGCTGGGGTCGGTCAGGGTACCCTTTGCGTCCTAGGAATTGTTGCCCGTGCGCCGCTCAACACTTCCAACTTGGGCGTCCAAGCTTCCACACCCGCGTCTTTATCGTCAATTGTGACTGTACGCCCCGGTTAGTCGTCCTCGTCTGGCCATGAGGGGGACGGGTCCTGACTTGAAGTCCCAGGCGTCGCGATTTTCTACACCGGGCCAGCCGTCACGCAGACGTGTGGGTCCAGGCCCCTAGTTGTCATTTTCCACGATGTTGCAATTTTTCGCGACGCTGGAGCTCAGGGGAGGGAGACGGATCAAGAGGTTTTTCCTCTCGGACTTGCGGGGCCTTCCTTGGCCCCAAGGCCGTCAGAGAACCACTCAGGATAAAGAGCTGGTCCCAGGGAATGCCCCAGGGTCCTGTCGGGGAGGCGTAAGACTCGAGCTTGCTGGAGCCAACTGGGGTTTGTCGCCGCTTTCTGACGGGCCGGGCGTGAGTTTTGACGGCCTTGTTTTCGCGAGAAGAAGGGAATCGGGGGAGAGAGGGGGGAGGGGGAGATGTGGTGGTGGTGGTGGTGGTGGTGGTGGTGGTGGTGGTGGCAGGGGGAGGAGGAGGTGGGAAGGAGGAGGATGATGAGGATGATGATGAAGAGGAGGAGCAGGAGGAGGAGGAGGAGCAGGAGGAGGAGGATGAGGAGGAGGAGGAGGAGGAGGACGAGGACGAGGAGCAGGAGCAGGAGGAGGAGGAGGAGGAGGAGGAGGAGGAGGAGGAGGAGGAGGAGGAGAGGACAGGAAGGCGGAGGGAGCTCGGATGAGGGAAAGATGAGGAGGGAGGGAGGGAGGGAGGAAAGTCGGAGGAGGAGGAGGAGGCAGGAGGAGGCAGGAGGAGGCAGGAGGAGGCAGGAGGATGGAAGAGAAATGCGGACGGGGGAGAACTGTACCGCCCCGCGCGAGGCAGCTGGAGCCCTTCGAGCGGGTGGCATTTGCGGTCGCCGCGGCTGGGCTTCACACGGGTGCTGGGCCGAGACGCCGCTCGATCCGTCGCCTCAGGAGCCAGATAGTGTGCCGACCCGTCGATCGATCCAGGCTCCCTTGTGCCGTGACATGTTTTCTATTTGTGCACACGACATGTCGCCGCGCCGTTTGTTCCGATGCGCGCGCGGCCGTACGTCTTGGAAAGAGCGCCTCGGCCATCAGGACAAACTCCGCCTCGGACGCAGAGGTTGCCGTGGATTTGCCGTGGTGTCGGCTTCGTCTGTTTGGGCGCGTGCAGAAAAAACGTCGCGGCGACACACGTTAGACAGAGAGGACCCCAAACAGGGAATTGTTGCACTGTGGGAGGTGAAAGCTATGCGACGTGAGCCATGTGGTGAAAGTTCTGCAGTGTGAGTGATGTTGTGTAGACTATGTCGTTTGAGCTATGGGAGGTGAGCTTTGTTGTCTACGCTATACTGTGGTACGGTGTTCGCCATGTGGTGCAAGTGATGCTGTGTAAGCTATGTGATGTGATCTGTGTGGTGTCCGCTAGGTTGACATATATATATATATATATATATGTATATATGTATGTATATCTGTAGATTGTGGTATCTGGTGAACGCTATGATGCGGACTCCCCAAGCGGCAGGGGGGCTCCAGGACCGTCGAACACCGGCTTGGGATGAAGAGCTGGCCCAGGGGAAAGGGTCGCTTCTTCCAGGCCGCTCTTGGTGAACACGCAACGCGTTGGATCCCTGCGCCCGAGTCGTTCTCTGATGGCCCCGGGACGAAGAGACGGCCTTCAGCGGCCGAAGGCAAAGAACAGCCGACCGCCACGACTTTTCTGCTTGCGCCCAGATCTCGTCGCCATGAGCCGACCCAAAAGCAAACGACACCACGCCACCTACGGCCCTCCATGCTGCGCTACGGCCCATCGGGGTTGCAGCGTATGTCACGCGGAAGCTCACTCCAGATTTCCTGGTATGCGCTGAGCGCCGTGGGGCCGTGGGTGGGGTGGTGTCGTTTGTGTTCTGGTCCAATGATGGGTAACAGGTCCGGGGGGAAACGAGTCTTAAGTCGGGCGTGTCCCTCTAAAGGAGGAATCTTCAAACATAGTGAAATCGTCTGGGGACGATTTTAAAGTATTTTTGAATCTTTGAGTTTTTACCTAGGCTCTGCCTAGAAGGGTTCTTACTTTCTTTGCTGAAAGGGGCCGGGCAGTGGAACCCGCCCCGGGCGGTTCCCCCGGTCCCCTGGGAGCCAAGCAAAAGCAACAAAGGTAAAAGCAAACGCGCGGTTCCCCCAGTTGCGCTCTCTGGGTGCCAAGCAACAGCAAAAGCAAAGGCAAACGTGAAGGCAAAAGCGAAGGCAAAGCAAACACATAGCATAGCATAGCATAGCATAGCATAGCATAGCATAGCGCAGCATAGCATAGCGCAGCATAGCATAGCATAGCCTAGCCTCGCCTAGCCTAGCCTAGCCTAGCCTAGCCCAGCTTAGCATTGCGCAGCACAGCATAGCATAGCATAGCATAGCATAGCAGAGCATAACATAGCATAGCATAACATAGCATAAAAGCGTTTACCGCTCCTACTAATGTTGTTTTCTCAGAGGCTCCAACTCCTAGGTAGGGTCGCACTGGGATAATTCTTTTTCCTCCAAGATCCCCCTGTAGGAGGACACGCCCGACCTAAAACGAGTCCCAGACCCCGGGCCGTTCCCCAGGACCAGCTCTCCATCCCAAGCCATTGCCCCTGAAGGCCCCCAGACCCGTGCACGGCGCCCCAGTTACCCGAGCACGACGAAGCATTCTCAGGCCGCTCTCCCCGCAGGACCCGTTCTCGGGGGCGTCGAAGAGGGGGTGAGGACAAAGGAGGTGTGAGTGTGTGCGTGTGTGTGTGTGTGCGTGTGTGTGAGAGAGAGAGAGAGAGAGAGAGAGAGAGAGAGTGAGTGTCATGTGTCATGGCCAGGGCCACCAACTATCCAGGATTTCATTGCTCCCTCGTCTTTCTTAACTGCCCTCGGCCTCCGGGATGGGATCAGAGTAGATGGTGTTGGAGGATCGCGCCGAATCGCCGATGCATCGCCGATGCGGCTTGATCTCGTATGGAGCCCGATTTTCTCCACGGCGACGCCGTCGATGCACCGCCAACGTCTCCGATGCATCACGGATGCATCGCCGATGCATCGGCGATGCGGCGCGATCTTCCGACCCCATCTGCTTGGTCCCCGATCGGGAGGCCTCTAAGTACTTCCCCTGCCCTTGGTGTCCGCGCACATGGTTCGGGCCGTGGTGCGCTGACCCCAGACCTCTGGCTCCAAAGGTTCAGACCAGCCCCCAGCACATGTTTTGATCCCGAGCCTTCGGCAGCAACTCATCGGAGCCTTGTGTAACCTCGTAATTATACGTGTATATCTATATCGTCGGTTAGCGTCGATTAGTGTCTGGGAGTCGATGAGATAGCGCCGATTAAGCGTCTGTTAGCGTCGACTTAGCGTCGATTAGCGTCGATTTAGCGTCGACTAGCGTCGATTCGCAAGAGCCGACAAGATGGTATGGGAGGCTCTCATGAGTTGCCACCGAAGCGTGGCCCTCCGGCTCCAGATGCGCAGACCATCCCCCAGCACATGGTTTTCATCCCGAGCCGTTCCTGTCGGGATCCAGCAGAGGGGGCGTGTGCCCCAGTGTTTGCGTGTGTGTGTGTGTGTGTGTGTGTGTGTGTGTGAGAGAGAGGTGTGTGTGTGTGTGTGAGAGTGTGCCCCAGTGTGTGTGTGTGTGTGTGTGTGTGTGTCTGAGAGGTGTGTCTGTGTGTGTGTGTGTGTGTGAGTGTGCCCCAGAGTGTGTGTGTGTGTGTGTGTGTGTGTGAGAGGTCGATCGGTTCTTGCACCGAACCGCCCGAGACAGGCGCCCCCGAGCCGCCGGCAGCCCCCGACAGTTGCCGACGGGCACGCGGGGGGCACCTGTTTGTGCGGCAGCTCGGAGCCCCAGCGGCGGTCGAACTCGCGCCCCCCGCCAGGGTCCCCCCCCCCCTGTGGTGGATCCCGATTCTGGACGGCCCGCACCAGCGGCGATCGAACTCACGCCCCCCGCCAGGGTCCCCCCCCCCTTTGGTGATACATACGTAACATCCTTGGGCCTGTTCAGGGGCCCGGTCAGGGCCCCCGGAGGGGGCCGAGCACCGCCCCAGGCCTGCCGTCGCGAAGGCCCGTCCCCGGGGCGCCTGGCCAGCCAGGGTCACCCCCCTTTTTCGGGGGAGCGCAAGACTCGAGTAAGCCGGAACCCGGGTTTGCTGCCGTTTTTTGACGAGCGCGTCCTGGATTTTGGCGGTCCGGTTGTCGTGGGACGCTTGCAGCGAGAGTTCGCGTCAAATCTCAGATTGGGTCTCGCCATTCTCATGACGCCCACGTCGGGCCAACCCGAGTGCCCCGTACCCGAGCCTTACGTCCGTCGCCCCAACCTTTGGTGGATCCCGATTCTGGGCGGCCCGCACCAGCGGCGATCGAACTCACGCCCCCCGCCAGGGTCCCCCCCCCCCTTGGTGATACATACGTAACATCCTTGGGCCTGTTCAGGGGCCCGGGGGCCCAGTCCGGGCCCCCGGAGGGGGCCGAGCGCCGCCCCGGGCCTGCCGTCGCGAAGGCCCGCCCCCGGGGCGCCTGGCCAGCCAGGGCTGCGGGGCGGGTGCGGCCGGTGCCGGCGAGCGCGGGGCGGCGAGGAGCGCCTTTTCTGGAGAGCCTCGGGGCCCGGCCCTCGAGGCTCGAGGCCCTCGAGGTGTATAGGGGAGGCCGTGCCCCGATGCCCCGGCCCTCGAGGCTGGGCCTTGGATCCTCGGAGGCGATCCTCCAGGTTCGAGCTTCGGCCCTCGACCCTCGACCCTCGATCCTCGATCCTCGATTCTGGGCTCCTCTTTCGGGCCGGTCGAGAGCGGGGAATAGGGGAAGGGGGGGCCACGAAATCTGCTACACAGCTGGTTTCGGCCCCGCCGCCGGGCCCATTCCTCGATACATGGGCGCCTCCCGGCGCCAGGAGGCGCTGGGAAAATCAGCTACGTGAGCTGATTCTCACCCCCCCCCCTTTGCTATCCCCCCCTTTCGCCTGGCCCGACCCTTGACCTCGACCTCGATCCTCGATGTCCGACCCGCGAGGCTGGACCTTCGATTCTTGAAGGCGGTCCTCCAGGGTCGATCCTCGGTCGTCGAGCCTCTCGGGGGCACCGGCAGGGGGGGCTGGCGGCCCAGGGCCCTCTCCGAGCGCGGTCCGCTGCTCGCAGAGTGCCTGCTCGCAAGCGTCCGACAAGAAAAACACATGTCTGCATCGATGTTGCGTATGTATCGTAGATCCCCATGGCGGGTCCAGGCCATTTGCGAGGAGTTCCTTTGCGAGTGCGGTCAGCCCGCATAGTAAGGATGGGCAACCTTCCCCAAGGGGACCCTTGCATCCGTGCCTCCTCGGTCCATCTTTGGCCACTCTCGTGGGCCGCGCCCCGCTCGGGAAGCTTCGAGATGGCCTCCTTCAAGGCCCTTGCATCCTTATCGCGCATCCTTCTGATGCGGGCCGACTGTAGTGGACTGAAGTCGGGCACGTCCCTCTACAGGAGGAGTATGCAAACATAGTAAAAAGATAGCCTGGGGACAATTTGTGTTTGACCTTTTTTTTGGTTTTCTTCTTTCTATCAGTTTTTGAATCCTTTGGTTTGACAGTTGTCAGTTCGTCGTCCAATATCTGCCTGCAGGAGGACACGCCCGACCCACCAGTGGACCGCGCTTGTCTCAGGGCGGGGGGCATCGACCCCCGCTCGCCCACCCCTCGCCGGCGACCCCGGGGGGGTGCCCGGGGGGCCGCCCCGCCTGCGCCTGCCCAGAGAACGACCTCTCGCGCGCGTCTCGCTGTCGGGGGCCTGGGCCGCCGATCGGTCTCGGGCCACTGCTTCCCGCCCCCCTCTCCCCAGAGCCGGGTCCGCCGTGTTTTTTTTTTTTTTTTTTTTTTTTATTTTTTTTTTTTTTTTTCTCCCCCTTGTTTTTTTTTTTTGGCTTTTTTGTTTTTTTTTTTTTTTTTTTTTTTTTTGTTTTTTTGTTTTTTTTTTCTTTTTGTTTTTTGTTTTTTTTTTTTTTTTTTTTTTTTTTTTTTTTTTTTGTTTTTTTTTTTTTTTTTTTTTTTTTTTTTTCTTGTTTTTTTTTTTTTGGTTTTGTTTCGGCTCCCTCCCCCTCCGCTCCTCGATCCTGGACGTCCGCTCCTCGCGGTCTCTCCGCTCCCCCCTCACTCCCTCCACACACCCCCCGTTCCTCGAATTCGCCGATCTGTCTCGGGCGACGTATATACGGCGATTCCCAGGCACACTGTTCACCCCCAAGGCCAGGTTCAACATCTTTCGGGTAATCCTCCCCACCTTCCCTCCTCCTCCTATGCCTTCCTACTAATCCTCCTCCTCCTCCTCCTCCTCCGCCTCCTCCGCCTCGTGGCTCCTCCGCCTCCTCCTCCTCCTCCTCCTCCTCCTCCTCCTCCTCCCTTCCTCCTCCCCCGCCCTCTCCCCCCTCGTTCCTCGATCCTCGATGTCCGATCCTCGAGGCCCAATCCTCGAAGTTCGACCCCCGGTCCTCGATCCTCGCAGCCCGGTTCCCGATCCTCGACCCTCGACCCTCCAGATTCGATCTTCGATCCTCCAGGCTCGATCCTCCAGACCCGATCCTCGATCCTCCAGATTCGACCCTCAAGATTCGACCCTCGAGACTCGACGTTCGATCCTCCAGACCCGATGCTCGCCAGCTTTGTCAGGAGGGGAAACTAGGCACGGACACAATGAAGCGTGGATGCCAAGGAACGTGTGGGAAAGTTTGGAAAACGGAGGGGACGACGGACACCCAGAGCACATGGACAATGATGAAGGAATCCTGGGGGTTGCGTCTGCTCGTTCGTGTGTATGTGTGTATGTGTGTGTGTGTGTGTCACTGAGCCCCATCAGTTCGACCCTCCAACTTCGGCGGCGAGCGAGGGGTGAACTGAGAAGGAGAAGGCCCTCTCAGAAGGCGGCGGGACTTCTCAGGAGCCCTCGCGCCTTCTGAGAAGTCTCCAGTGTCTCCCGGGGGAAGGCTTCGCACACTGACACTTCTCAGAAGGCCGGGGGACCTTTTCCGAGCCTTCTGAGAAGGCCCGCCCCTTCTCGCTCCCCCCCCGCGCGCTCGCCGCCAACGAATGCGACCCTCGACCCTCGATCCCGAGGCTCGCCCCTCGGGGGCCCCTGCCGCCGCGGCCTCTCCCGAGGCGCCGGGGGCACCGGCGGCCGCGGCGGCGCGCTGGGGGTGGGCGACCCGCTGCTGCGGGTCGCGGGCCTCCGCGCTCCGCCCTCTGGGAGTGGGGCTCGCCTCCTCCTCCTCCTCCTGCCTCCTCCTCCCTCCGCCTCCCTCCTCCTCCTCCTTCCCTCCATCCTCCTCCTCCTCCTGCCGCTCCCCTTCTGCCGTACCCCTGCATCCTAGCATCCTCGTCCTCCTCCTTCTCCTCCTCTTGCCTCCTGCCTCCTCCTCCTCGCCCCTCCGGCCCCCTCCTTCTCTCCTGCTCCTCCTCCTCCTTCCTCCCCTGCCTCTGCCTCCTGCCTCCTGCCTCCTTGCCTCCTGACTCCTCCTCCTCCTCCTCAATCCTGCCTCCTCCTCCTCCTCCTCCTCTCCTCCTCCCCCTCCTCCTCCTCCCTTCCCTCCTCCTCCTCCTCCTCCTCCTGCCTCCTCCGCGTCCTTCTCCTTCTCCTCCTTCTCTTCCTACCGTTCCTCCCTCCTGCCCCTGCCTGCTCCCTCCCTTCTCCCTTCTCCTTCTCCCTCCCCCCCGCGCCCTGTAGGCCCCAGAGGGAGGAGGTTTTCCGACACCGTACTGCCGTGCCTTTCCTTCGTTTTTTCTTCTTGTCTTGGCATCGCTCGTGCGTGTGTCTTTTGTCTTAAGTCGGGCGTGTCCTTCTACAGGCGGGATATTCAAACAATAGAGTCTGGGGCTGCCGGACTGTCAGAGACCCCGCCCTCATGATCTGCTCGCTCAGGAGCCATGGGAAGCCCGTCTTCACCGCGACGCCCGTGCAGGAGGATCTGACTGCAGCGTTCGTGGACGTGCGCGTGCCCGAGGCTGACAACTCGCACCTGCCGCTCCCGCTGCTCGCCTCCCCGCGCCGCGTCCTCCCGAGGGCGCGCAGAGAGTGCCCTCCGCGGCCTGCCCGCGCGTGCCCGGAGCCCGGCCCCAGGGCCTCCGCGGCCTGCCCGCGCGTGCCCGGAGGGAGCGCCGGCCCTGCGCGGGGCACCGCGCGGCGCGCTGGCTCAGATGGCGAGCCTTCAGTGCCCTGCCAGCCTGGAACCTATCCCCATCCCTATGCTGGGCATCGCCCCGTCACGATGGCGATCTCAGGGATGCCCTCAGTTTCCGAGGGTGCCTCCCTAAGCTTGGCATCGCCTTCTGGGCGTGTCAACCTTGGGGATAGGGGGAAGGTCGAGGCTGGTCAGGGCCCGCCGGAACACGTTCACCACTGCCTCCTCGCCTTCCCGCCGAAGGGCGACGAGGCCGCGGATCTGAGGGACCGCGCGCGCGCGCCCCCGAGGGCTCGAGGCTTTGGCCTTTGAGGGCTCTCGCAGTTCAGCTGCTGCTGTCGCGGTCAGCCTCCGTCCTTGGGGGGTGGCGGCCAGGGGCGCCCGCGGGGCCCAGAGAGGATGGGCGCCCGGGTGAATTTGTGGCAAGCGCATCGTTGCTCTTTAGACGCCGAGTGTCGGCGAGCGGGCTTTCTTTCAGGACGAAGGGGGGCCCGCTCGCCTTCGCTGGGGCTGCCTGGGTTTCGCATCTTCGATGTGAAGGCCGCCTTTCTTGGCGCGTCCCAGCTGTTTCCCCGTCGCGCCGTTGAGCGACTCGACCCCCCGCCTTCCCGCCCCCGCCTCCCCCGCGGGCTTCCACGCGCAACGATCGGCCGCGCGAAAGTTGACGAAGGTCTCGAAGCTTGGTTCCCCAGGGCGTCAGGCGCCCCTCAAGGCTGTCCTCTGTCTGGGAGTCTGTGCGCCTTGGGGTTCGGCCCGTGGGCGCGTTGACTGCGCGAGGCGTTTCCGTCCGTGGAAGAATGGGGCCGTGCGGCTTGCGGGGGGCGCCCGCGACGCGGGCGAAGTGGCGGCTCGCGTTTAGCGGGTCATTCACTTGCGCGCTGCCTTCCAGCAAGCAGCGGATCTTGCTGCGCTGCGCCTACAGCCCGCTACACGTTGGTCTGGCCCCTGATGCGCCCCATGCGCGTCACGCGCTATTGCCGCGGCGCGCGAAGCTCTGGCCAGATGTGCTCCGCGCTGGGATCGATTCGAAATCCACTGTTCTGCGACATCTTCAGGCGTGATGGTGGGCCCAGAGGCTGACCATTCTGCCTGGGGCACTTTTTGAGGCCTCGATTCGACTCTACCTCGATGTCATCCTCAGTTGCCTCTCCTGAGTAGCTCAATTTTTCGTCCTGGCCCCCGTGTCATGACCCAGGAGGGCCCGTGGTTCCACGAGCTTTTAAGATTTCCTCCCAAGCCGTTTCGTGTTTCCGAACTTCTCGGACTCGGGCGGTGGATGATACAGTTGCCCCCGCACCGATGGGCCCGCGTGCGTCGCCGATTCCTGGCGTGCTAGCGTAATCATATTCGCGGGGCGGGCGCGCGTGCGTGGGGGAGGGGGGCCTCTGGCTGGCGGCGGGGGAACGCGGTGTCCCGCGAGATCTTGTGCGGAAGGGGTGCCCCCCGAGCTTCTGGAAGAGGCGTCGAGCGATCGTCCAGGTGCATCTTGCGTTTGGCCCCCCGTGGGCCGAGTTTGCGACCTCGCCCAATGCCCGCGGCCCACCATCCAGAGTCTTGCTGTCCCGCATCCCTCGTGCCGCGATCCAGAAAGCAGCGGCGGCAACTGGGAGGCGAGCGAGCACCAGCGGATCAAGGACGTGGCCCCAGTCTCCAGACTCCCGTTCCTTCGGTTTTTATGTTCTTCTCTCTGCCCCGATCGACTCTCAGAGATGGTGGCACGTCGTTTCGCAGAGTAACTTCCAGATTGCTTGCCTCTCTGCGCAGCTGACGTAGGCGAAGGATGGGATAAGCCCCCGCCCGACTCAGGCCTCACCTCAAACTGCTTGCAGGCGGATGGGCCGCGTCGGCACGTGTTGGCATGCTGTCTCCAACAGGGTGCCGTCTCGGCGGCTCGGACGAAGTTCTTGGCATCGAGATTGTTGCGCCCGATTAGATTGCTCATTATCTCTCTTGTCCTCGACTGGCTCACCGCCTCGCTCTTCATCGCCCCATCATTCCCAGTGATCCCATAGTTCGCTGTGGGCATGGCCCGCCGTCTGCAGATAACGAAGCAAATGAATAGATAGGAGTCGAGACGTCTGGGAGTTAGCTTGCAATTCAGAAGAGGTTCAGTTCAGCATCGGCGCTCGTATTTCCTGGAGTTTTATCCGGCCTAATTTGATCCCGGTTGAATCTCCGAAGCCCTATTCGGTCTAGTCTGGTTGAGCAGCATAGTTCTTGATCGTTCCCACAAATATCTCCTAGGAGTCGCCTCGCCCTCATCCATGCCTTCCTGTTCCCCTCGTCCCCCCATCCAGTGATGAATCCTTTGCCTCCTCCTTCCTCTACTTGCTCCTCTTCCTTCCTCGTCGTCGCCCTCAGTCCAGCATCCTCGTTCACCCGTCCTCGCTCGTCGTCGTCGTTGTCTTCTTCCTCCTTCCTCTGCCTCGGTGTCCTCTCTTCGGCCCCCAGCGGTGAAATTCCTCTTCGATTAGATTGCCCATTCATGATCGAGGTATTTCCTGGCACCTGGCTCTGCAAATAGAGAGGGATTCAACGCAATGGACAAGGATGGGATGGATGGGGTAGGACGTCGGACACGGCGCCAGCGATCCTGGCTGGACAATTGTTCAACTTGAGTACTACTCTCCTATCTCCCCCGACTACGTTCTGAAATTGTCCCACCCTCTCAGCTTTTTGGACCACTGGATTTCAAAACCTGATGTGCGACGTGCTTCTTTTCAATCTGACCGTCTTCGGTGTTTCAAAAGAATTGGTGTTCCTGCTGCAACACGGGCCCCACCTTAGGATCGGCGCGTCGTTCTCGTCGTTCCAAAATGGCGCTCTCGCTCCATCGCGGGCCACTTCTATGGATCCAAGCCCTTCCTCATCGTTGTCGCCCCGCTCCTTTCCTCTCCCCCGCCTTCCTCTGGTCATCCTGCTCCCCCCGCTCCTCCCGCCCCTGCTCCTGCTGCTGCTTTTCCTCTTCGTCGTCCCATGTCCTCGTCACCTCCTTTTCCTCCTGCTCATCTCCCTGTTCATCTGCCACCTCCTCCTTCAGTGTACGCAGCGCCCTGTTTCTGACTGCGAATGTCACGATGGGTATGCTTTCGGGGGTTCCAGATCCGTCCGCGGATAGCACAATGGGAGGGTATGGGTGGAAAAGGGGCAGGATATCAGGTGCGGCGCGAGCGCGCCCAGCTTGTCCCCCCCCCCTCTCCCCCCTCCTCCCTTCCCCCTACCCCCCTGCCTTTCCCTCCTCCCCGCCTGCTCCCTCCCCCCCCTTCTCTTGCCGTAAGTTGCCGACTGTGTGGCAGCGCGGGGGCGCGGGCGCAGCGCCCGTTCTCCAGCCCCTCGGCGGCGGCGACGGGCGGCATCGGCGGCGGCGGAGGCCACAGCGACGACGGCGGCGGCGAGAACGGCGGCGACGGCGGCGGCAACGACGGCGGCGACTGCGCCGAGGCGACGGCGACGGCGAAGGCGACGAGGGCTGCGACGACGGTGACGGCGCCTCAGCTGCGACGAAGTCGACCGCGAATGCGACTGTGCTTTGGCGGCGGCGGCGAGGTCGCGGCCAGCCTGGCGCGCACGCTGTCCGCCCTCGACGAGTCCGGGCTCGTGGAGGCGGCCACCGGGGTCGCGGGGCAGGCGGCGTCCGCCTCCATGTCGTCCAGCAGGAACTCCGTGGACCGCAGCGCAGGCGGCCAGCGGCCGCCGCTGCTCCTGAGCCCTGGCGGCGGCGACGACGAGGACGACGGCGAGGACGAGGACGAAACGACGGTTTAGGACGACACCAGCGGGAGGAACCCTGGCGGTAACGGGGAATATTATTAAGCAGTCGTAATGGTAGTCGTCGTCGTCGTCGTCAACGTCGTCGTCGTCGTCGTAGTAGTAGTAGTAGTCGTAGTAGTAGTAGTAGTAGTAGTAGTAGTAGTAGTAGTAGTAGTAGTAGTCGTAGTAGTAGTAGTAGTAGTAGTAGTAGTAGTAGTCGTAGTCGTAGT